TCCTGGTGTGATCCCAGTGATCCCAGTGTGATCCCAGTGTGATCCCAGTGATCCCAGTGATCCCAGTGTGATCCCAGTGTGCTCCCAGTGATCCCAGTGATCCCAGTGTGATCCCAGTGTGATCCCAGTGTGCTCCCAGTGTGATCCCAGTGTGATCCCAGTGATCCCAGTGATCCCAGTGTGCTCCCAGTGATCCCAGTGATCCCAGTGTGATCCCAGTGTGATCCCGGTGTGATCCCAGTGATCCCAGTGTGATCCCAGTGATCCCAGTGTGATCCCAGTGTGATCCCAGTGATCCCAGTGTGATCCCAGTGATCCCAGTGTGATCCCAGTGTGCTTCCAGTGTGCTTCCAGTGTTCCCAATATGCTCCCAGCGCTCCCAGTGTGATCCCAGTGTGCTCCCAGTGTGGTTCCAGTGCGATCCCAGTGTGATCCCAGTCTCCTCCCAATGCTCCCAGTGCTCCCAGTGTGCTCCCAGTGTCCTTCCAGTTCCCCCAGTGCCCTCCCAGAGTCCTTCCAGTGCCCTCCCAGTGTTCCAAGTGATCCCCGTCTGCTCCCAGTGTTCCCAGTGCTCCCAGTGTCCTCCCAGTGCCCTCTCTGAGTCCCCAAACCTGGAGATTCAGGGTGATCTGATCAATGCACCTCCCCAGTGCTCCCAGTGCCCTCCCAGTGTCCTCCCAGTGCCTCCAGCTCAGTGTCACTCAATACCCTCCCAGTGTCCCGTTACTCTCAGTCCATCCCACTCCCACAATCCAAGTGCCCCCAGTTCCCCCAGTTCCCCCAGTTCTCCGTGATCCTGGCTCCCACAGGGGCCGTACCCAGGGCTGATGGCACCCCAGGAACCAGGGAGATGCCACCAGGATCTTCCCCGCAGTGTCACCCACACCCTGACCCCACCCCCCGATTTCCAAAACCCCCCAAAATCCCAGGGGTCCCTCTGGATGCCTGAACAGCATCCCAAATTTGTCTGAGAGGCCCCGCCTTCCCTAACGAGCAAAACCTCATTAAATGCTAATTGCAGAGGGATTCTCCACCAAATGCTGATTGCAGAGGGATTCTCTGCCACCTCCGGCACAGGGTGGGCTCACCCGAAGCCACGCTGGGCTACCAATTATCCCCAATTATCACCCTAAAAACCCGAGCCCAAACCGGCCAAACGCCTTCAGGAGGCACAAACACCGCACGAGCTGGAGGAGCAGGATTTATGGGATAAGATTTATGGGGCAGGATTTATGGRRCAGGATTTATGGRACAGGATTTACTTCCAAACCCGTGAGAGAGGAGCAGAGCGGGGCCGTGCCAGGGCAGGATGGCATCGTCCCCCTCCCTGGTGCTGCCAGGGGATCCTTTTTCCCTCAGACACCACTATGGGATCTCTCCCTTCTGGTACTGGAATGGGATTTTTCCCACTGTGGTACCACTGTAGGATCTTTATCCTTCCAGTTCCCCTATGGGATCTTTCCCCAATACTGCCATGAGATTTTTCTCACTGTGGTACCACTTTAGGATCTTTATCCTTCCAGTACCACTGTGGGATTTTTATCCTTCCAGTTCCACTGTGGGACCTTTCCCCCATACTGCGGCAGGATTTTTTCCCACACCAATACCATTATGGGATTTTTTTCCCACCCCGATACCATTATGGGATTTTTCCCACTGTGGTACCACTGTGGGATCTTTCCCCCATACTGCCATGGGATTTTTTCCCACACTAATACCATTATGGGATTTTTCCCACTGTTGTACCACTGTAGGATCCTCATCCTTCCACTGTGGGACCTTTCCCCCATACTACCACGGGATTTTTTCCCACCCCAATACCATTATGGGATTTTTTCCCACCCCAATACCATTATGGGATTTTTCCCACTGTGGTACCGCTGTAGGATCTTTATCCTTCCAATTCCACTGTGGGATCTTTCCCACACACTGCCATGGGATTTTTTCCCACCCYRATACCATTATGGGRTTTTTTCCCACCCCAATACCATTATGGGATTTTTCTCACTGTGGTGCCACTGTGGGACATTTCCCCCATACTGCCAAGGGATTTTTTCCCACCCCGATACCATTATGGGATTTTTTCCCACCCCGATACCATTATGGGATTTTTTCCCACCCCGATACCATTACGGGATTTTTTCCCACCCCAACACCATTATGGGATTTTTCCCTTGCCAGTACCACCACAGAACCTTTCCCACCGTGGCTCCTTCTCCATCACTGCTCAGATGATGCCAGCAGGAGYGAAGACAGGGGTGACACAGAGCGTCTCTGCCATCTCCCAGCCGCAGGACAGAGGGGTGCAGAGGCTCTCACGGTCATCTTCTGTTTGGGGTGGCTTTCCCTGGAAGAGCTGCACGGCTTTCCTGCAAGGGGAAAAAACCCAAAGGGGAGCCAGGGGAAGGAGCAGCCCCTTGAGAACGGGGTGGGTTTGGGGAAGGGGAAGCTTC